GTTTTAAAGCAACTTTAAAACCCCCTCCTTCAGAGTGCAGTCACTGTACTTCCCATCTCCAGGACTCAAGTCCGGCCTTCCGGTTTCCCTGAATCCCTTCATAAATGTTACTTTGCTCACACTCCGACAGCACGTCAAGTTTTAAAAAAAACCATTTGTCTCCATTCACTCCTATCAAAACACGCTCACGCATGCCTGCTGGAAGTTCCAAGCCCCTCGCACACAAAACCTCCTTTACCCCCCTCCTCCAACCTTTCCTAGCCGACCCCTACCCCGCCTTCCTTCCACTACAGACTGATACACTCTTGAGTCATTCTGTTTCGCTCCATTCTCTCTTCATGTCCGAACCACCTGAACAACCCTTCCTCAGCCCTCTGGACAACAGTTTTGGTAATCCCGCACCTCCTCCTAACTTCCAAACTACGAATTCTCTGCATTATATCACACCACACATTGCCCTCAGACATGACATCTCCACTGCCTCCAGCCTTCTCCTTGCTGCAACATTCATCACCCACGCTTCACAACCCATATAAGAGCGTTGGTAAAACACATAACTCTCATACATTCCCCTCTTTGCCTCCAAGGACAAAGTTCTTTGTCTCCACAGACTCCTAAGTGCACCACTCACTCTTTTTCCCTCATCAATTCTATGATTCACCTCATCTTTCATAGACCCATCCGCTGACACGTCCACTCCCAAATATCTGAATACGTTTCACCTCTCCTCCATACTCTCTCCCTCCAATCTCATATCCAATCTTTCATCACCTAATCTTTTGTTTATCCTCATAACCTTACATTTTCCTGTATTCACCTTTAATTTTCTTCTTTTGCACACCCTACCAAATTCATCCACCAATCTCTGCAACTTCTCTTCAGAATCTCCCAAGAGCAACAGTGTCATCAGCAAAGAGCAGCTGTGACAACTCCCACTTTGTGTGTGATTCTTTATCTTTTAACTCCACGCCTCTTGCCAAGACCCTCGCATTTACTTCTCTTACAACCCCATCTAATAAATATATTAAACAACCAGGTGACATCACACATCCTTGTCTAATGCCTACTTTTACTGGGAAAAAATTTCCCTCTTTCCTACATACTCTAACTGAGCCTCACTATCCTCGTAAAAACTCTTCACTGCTTTCAGTAACCTACCTCCTACACCATACACTTGCAACATCTGCCACATTGCCCCCCTATCCACCCTGTCATACGCCTTTTCCAAATCCATAAATGTCACAAAGACCTCTTTAGCCTTGTCTAGATACTGTTCACTTATGTTTCACTGTAAACAACCTGTCCACACACCCCCCTACCTTTCCTGAAGCCTCCTTGTTCATCTGCTTTCCTATTCTCCGTCTTACTCTTAATTCTTTCAATTATAACTCTACATACACTTTACCAGTGTATTATGTGGACTTAAAATTGAAAGAACTAAGTTTATTATTGATATCCACTAGAATAGGAGCAGAGGCTTTTACTTACAGTTGTGCTGGGAGCTGTGAGTGGAGTGATTACTGTTTGGACGGAGCCCTACACGTCACCTTTCGGGGTGGTGAGAAAAGGGGGTGATAACGGGACCTAGGCTGACCATACCTTAACAAGCAGCCGGCGATCAAACTATCGTTACCATATACACGCTCGCTACTCCCATCCGTTGAACTTTTCCCTCACACTTCTTTTAAATTTAGCAATTTATAAAGTAGAATGGGTTAATAGCCCCTTGCTCCTGGCATTTTAGTCGTGTCTTACAACAAGTATGTTTTAAGGAGGAAGAATTCTGTTCCACTTACCCGTGGAGATAAGAGGAATTAAACAAGAACAAGAGCAAGAACCAGAAAGAAAATAGACGAAAACCCAGAGGGGTATGTACATATATGCTTGTGCATGTATGTGTAGTGTAACCTTAGTGTAAATAGAAATAGCAAAATGTACCTGAAATCTTGCATGTTTATGAGACAGAAAAAAGAACACCAGCAATCCTACCATTATGTAAAACAATTACAGGTTTCCGTTTTATACTCATTTGCAGGAAGGTAGAACTTCCCTGGGCTGTTGCTGTCTGCAGTTATTATTATTATTGTGATTATCATTATTGTAATAGGCTGGAATACTGCTGTACACTAACTGCCCCCTTCAAGGCAGGGGAACTTTCAAAGCGAACATAAGTACGATATGTATTCTTTGGAATGCAGGCAAGAAAGATACATGATAATAAACACTTGGAAAAATCCTAGAAGGATTAGTACCAAACTTGCTCAGGAGAATCACTCCCTGCAAATGCAAAAAAAACTCTGCAGGAGATGCAACTTTCTCAGAATGGAAAGCAGAGGTACCACGAGTACACTAATAGAACTCACAATAAGTTTCAGGGGACCAAGAGTGTTCAACTGCCTCCCAGGATACATAAGGGGGATTGCCAATGGACCCATGGCTGTCTTCAACAAGGCACTGGGATGGCATGTAAAGTCAGTACCTGGTCAGCCGGGTTTTGGTTCGTATGCTGGTTTATGTGTGGGCAGCAGTAGTTGCCTGGTTCACCAGATCCTGATACACACGTAAGTACGTTAAGGCACCTAAATTACTGGGAATGGTTGAAGATCCTTGATCTGTATTCCTCTGAATGCAGGCGAGAGAGATTCATGATAATATGCACTTGGAAGGTCCTGTGAAGATTGATACCAAACCTGCACATGAAAATCACTCCATATGAAAGCAAAAGACTCAGCAGAAGATGCAACATTCCCCCAGTGAAAAGCAGGGACACCACGAATACAATGAGAGACATAAGAATGTAAGAACGAAGGAACACTGCAGAAGGCCTACTGGCCCATGCGAGGCAGCTCCAAGTCTCCTACCGGCTTAAGCCAATGCACCCAACCTAGTCAGGTCAGGTCACATTGACTTTAGGGAGGAACACGGCAACCGACCTGGTAGCACAAGCTATCAGGTCTAACTCACACCCACCCACATCTACTCATGTATTTATCCAACCTATTTTTAAAGCTACACAACGTTCTGGCCTCTATAACGGTACTTGGGAGTTTGTTCCACTCATCCACAACTCTATTACCAAACCAGTACTTTCCTATATCCTTCCTGAATCTGAATTTTTCCAACTTAAAACCATTGCTGCAAGTCCTGTCTAGCTAGATATTTTCAGCACACATTTACATCCCGTTTATTTATTCCTGTCTTCCATTTATACACCTCAATCATATCCCCCCTAATTCTACGTCTTTCTAGAGAGTGCAGTTTCAGGGCCCTTAGTCTATCCTCATAGGGAAGGTTTCTGATACATGGGATCAACTTTGTCATCCTCCTTTGTACATTTTCCACAGAATTTATATCGATTCTGTAAAGCAAAGTAAGTGTTAGGGGCCCAAGACTATTCAATTGCCTCTCAGGATACATAAGGGGATTACCAATAGACCCCTGGCTGTCTTCAAGAAGGCACTGGACATGGACTTATAGTCGGTACCTGACCAACTGGGCTGTGGTTAGTACGTCAGCTTGCATGAGGCCAGCAGTATCAACCTGGTTGATCAGAACCTGATCCCCCTTGAAGCCTGGTCTCAGACCGGGCGCATGGGCTTTGACCCCCGAAGCCCTCTCCAGGTAAGCCAAGAGGCCTGATCTCAGATAGGTTCACGTGGGTAATGAAAGATTTCTCCCAGTATACTCCAGTATATGATTTATTTACCAATTAAGAATTATGATCTTCAGAATGACACTATTGAAAAGAATATACAATATAATATATAAAAATGACATTCAGGAAGACCATCAAGCTGGTATTGTGGCAAAGTAAAACTGAGGGTAGGAATTAATAGATTGTTTATTTGATAGATGTCACCAGTTGTGTTGCATGCAACACACTGCCAGATATGCAACATACTGCCAGACAATTCTGGCCCAATACCAGAATCTTCGAGAAGAAAAAACGCTCAAAAATTATTTCATAATTTAGGTTAAGTAATGTTTAGTAAACTAGACCGATATATTGACATATTTATTTATTTAAATGATATACTGTCATGAATCATATCTTACTAGTATGAGTTCTCATATGACTTACTAAACCAGACTTTCGAGAAAAGTTTTTCAGACACATTGAGCACTGATATGGTTTCTCTCCAGTATGAGTTCTCATGTGATTTACTAATGTTGATCTATGAGAAAAGGCATTCATACATTCTGAACACTTATATGGTTTCTCTCCGGTATGAGTTCTCATGTGACATACTAGGTCAGACCTTTTCGAAAAGTCTTTTGGACATTGTGAACACTGATATGGTTTCTCTCCTGTATGAGCTCTAATGTGATGTACTAAATAAGGTTTTCTTGTAAAGTCTTTCAGGCACACTGAACACTGGAACGGTTTCTCTCCAGTATGAGTTCTCTTGTGATTTACTAATGTTGATCTATGAGAAAAGGTATTCATACATTCTGAACACTTATATGGTTTCTCTCCAGTATGAGTTCTCATGTGACTTACTAGGTCAGACCTTTGCGAAAAGTCTTTTGGACATTGTGAACACTGATATGGTTTCTCTCCAGTATGAATGATCAAGTGCCTTTTTAAAGTATTTTTTTTAGAAAAATTTTTCAGACACACTAAACACTGATATGGTTTTTCTCCAATATGAGTTCTCATGTGTTGTAGTAAATTAACATTTATCAAAAGCTCTTTAAGACACATTGAACGTTTGAGTGTTTCATAGTCTATAATAAATCTGGTGAGAGATACGCACTGTTCTTGAGAAGAAGGGTGTTGTAGCGAGTGTGAATTTTCATCAACACCTGTACGTTGATTTGTCTTAAAACACAGTTTTTCAGATGTTTTCAACATAATGATTAATAATGATGTCGTATATTAATTTACTTAACTATGTTTTTAGTGTAGTCACTGTATTAACAATATATACAGTATTTACAGAATCTTCTGATTTGTAACAGTGATCTTGGCAATGCAAGTCAGTTTAGTATTGACACTACAAGTATCAGAATATTGTGCTAGAATAACTGAAGTATTGACACAACAAGAGCCAGCCTCAGGTGTCAGGATACCTGAAGTATTGACACAACAAGCCAGCCTCAGGTGTAAGGATACCTGAAGTATTGACTCAACAAGAGCCAGCCTCAGGTGTCAGGATACCTGAAGTATTGACACTACAAGAGCCAGCCTCAGGTGTAAGGATACATGAAGTATTAACACAACAAGAGCCAGCCTCAGGTGTCAGGATACCTGAAGTATTGACACAAAAAGAGCCAGTCTCAGGTGTCAGGATGCCTGAAGTATTGTCACAGTAAGAGCCAGCCTCAGGTGTCAGGCTACCTGAAGTATTGACACAATAAGAGTCAGCCTCAGGCGTTAGGATGGCCTGCAAAATAAATAAAATATATAATCTTTTATTATTATCATCATCATCGTAATAAAGTTGGTAGAATTACCGACAATATGTAAAGTAAAAGGACACAAGTGCAACTAATGTCACATTTTTATTGTTGACAATGTTTCGCTCTCCAGGAAGACAGAAGAAATATAGATTGTAGATGAATGGATCAAAAAACAGACACGTTGTTAAATTAGACACACAGGGTAGCATTGAAAATTGGGCTGGGCAAATGTTTTGTTAGTGGGATGAATTGTAAAGGACCTGCCTAGTATGGGCCAACAGGCCTGCTGCAGTGTTCCTCCTTTCTTGTGTTGTTATATGCAACTCTTGGGTATCTATATTGAGGAAACGTTTCGCCAGACAGTGGCTTCATCATTCCATACAAAGGATAAACTAGAAGAACACTAGGAGAATGAGGTAATCAGTCCCTCAACCTTGAGTCGATGTGGTCAGTTCATCAATTTTGAAGAAATATACAAAAATATCTGGTAATTAGCACCTCAGCCTTGGAGTTGGTGTGAAGAGCAACTCAGAGGTGAAGAATCTTCACAACTACGGTCCTAAAATTTGTATTGATAAAGCCACTGGATGTCAAAACGTCTACAATAAAGATACCCAGAAGTTGCACATTTCTCTAATTCTCATCAGTTATATTAATGTTTAAGCTATTGATTAATTATGGGAGAAAATGTTTTGCAAGACACTTGTGCAACATCTGGTTATCTTTATTGTAGACGTTCCGACATCCAGTGGCTTTATCAATACAGATTCTTGGACATAATACGAAAATAGAACTATTGTGTCTAAGAATCTGTATTGATAAAGCCACTGGGTGGCGAAACGTCTACAATAAAGATAACCAGATGTTGCGTAAGTGTCTTAACTTTCAACTCTTAAGTTGCCAATGGTATTTATGTGAGTTCTGTGTGAGTTGTGATAATAGTTTAAGCTAAAAATTGTTATTGGTGACCTAAATTTGTCCTATTTCCTATAACAACATCAATGAACTTACCTTACAGTTGTTTGGAAGGTCTTCACTGGGATAATATCAGCTTTCCAAATTGATATCAACAACTTGGTTAAACAGGATATATTTGAGAGCAAATGTTTAGGTCAAGGGATCTTGATTGCTTCTAACAAACGATGAATAAAATGAAAGCATATATAGGCTGAGAGTGAAGTGTAACACCTGACAATAAGGTCATGTGACTCAAATGCAACTCATAACAACATAAGAAAGGAGAAACACTGCAGCAGGCCTGTTGGCCCATACTAGGCAGGTCCTTTACAATCCATCCCCCTCACAAAACATTTGCCCAACCCAATTTTCAATGCTACCCAAGAAATAAGGTCTGATAACTCCATCAATTAATATATGCAAATCCTGTTCAAACCAAACCCCTCTCGATCAAGTATTTATCCAACCTAAATTTGAACCTACCCAAGGTTTAAGCCTCTATAACCCAACTAGGTAGACTGTTCCCCTCATCAACTACCCTATTTCCAAACCAATACTTTCCTATGTCCTTTCTAAATCTTAACTTGTCAAATTTGATTCCATTATTGCGGGTTCTCTCTAGGAGAGATATCCTCAAGACCTTATTAATATCCCTTTTGATAACACCCGTCTCCCACTTGTACACTGCCTCGCATGGGCCAGTAGGCCTCCTGCAGTGTTCCTCCATTCTTATGTTCTTATGTTTACCCTCATTTTTTGTCTTTCAAGTGAACGTAGTTTAACAGTCTTAGCATAAGAACAAAGGAAATGAGGATCACTACAACAGTCCTGTAGGCCCATACTCTGCAGGTCCTTTACAATCCATCCCACTTACAAAACATTTGCCCAACCCAGTTTACAATGTTGATAATCTAGACATATGTGCAACTCTTGGGTATCTTTATTGAGGAAACGTTTCGCCACACAGTGGCTTCTTCAGTCCATACTATTCACGATTCTCCTTTGTATAGACTGATGAAGCCACCCTGTGGCAAAACGTTTCCTCAATAAAGATACCCAAGAGTTGCGCATGTAAGAACATAAGAACATAAGAAAGGAGGAACACTGCAGCAGGCCTGTTGACCCATACTAGGCAGGTCGTCTACAATTCATCCCACTAACAAACATTTGACCAACCCAATTTTCAATGCTACCCAAGAAATAAGCTCTGATGTGCAAGTCCCACTCAGATCCAACCCCTCCCACTCATAAGAACATAAGAAAGGAGGAACACTGCAGCAGGCCTGTTGGCCCATACTAGGCACGTCCTTTACAATTCATCCCACTAGCAAACATTTGACCTACCCAATTTTCAATGCTACCCAAGAAATAAGCTCTGATGTGCAAGTCCCACTCAAATCCAACCCATCCCACTCATAAGAACATAAGAAAGGAGGAACACTGCAGCGGGCCTGTTGGCCCATACTAGGCAGGTCCTTTACAGTGGTGACGTGTACTTAGCTCTGTGAAGACCTGTTTGTGTGCTCTTGAGTGGTGACCTGTACTTGGCTCTGTGAAGAGGTGTCTTGTTTGCTCCCGTGGACTGAACCAAGATGCCCTCCATCGAGCAACTTTACCAGCAACTTAAGGAAGAATTGAGGGCAGCGAAGATGGAGATACGGCGATTGACCGAGGAAAACAAGAGGATTCGTAGTAGTCCTCCTGTTTCGAGTCCTCAGGTCAAGAAGGGATCGTGGTCAGTGGCTGGACAGCAGGGGACGACGAAGTTGACGATCATGAACCCCAATGGAAAGCCAGAAACGATGAAGAAGAAAGAGACTGCTGTGGAAACTCCCGTGGAAACCTCCAACGCATTCTCGGTGCTACCCGACGAATGTGAGTCTACTACTGGGATCGTCACGACGAACGACAACAAGGAAGGTAAGAATATTGTTGTTGTTGGGGATAGCCAGGTTAGATACATGGATAGGGCATTCTGCTTGAAGGACAGGAGTAGGAGACAAAGGGTATGCTTTCCTGGGGCTGGGATGGAGGACATTGTTAGCCGGCTTGACAACATCATGAACGGTAATGGGATCAATCCTATTATTTGCCTCAGTGCTGGAGGCAATGATGTAGGCAAGCGTAGAAGTGAGGATTTAGTTAGAAAGTTCAGGACAGCTATAGACATGATTAGGAAGAAGGGGGGGCGCCCTGTTATATGTGGAATTTTGCCAAGAAGAGGTGTTGGTAATGAATGGTTGTCCAGAGCAATTGGTATTAATTGTTGGCTGGATAAACACTGTAAGGATAATGCAGTACCATTCATTGACAACTGGGACAACTTCTATGGCCGAAATGACATGTATGCCAGGGATGGGGTTCACTTATCCAGGATAGGTGTGGGTTTTCTTGCTAACTCAGTTGAGAGGGTTGTTAGGACTTTAAACTAGGATTAGTTAGAGGTATGGGTTTAGAAAAGATTAATAATGAGTATGGATATATTGACTTATGCTCTGATATTAAGAATCTTAATAGTAACTGTCATGGAGTAACTCTGGGTAATGATAATTTCAGAAATTGTGTAAAAACAAAGATGAATAGGAAAAATGTGCAGAAGAAAAAACATATGATGGTATTTTATGCTAACAGTCGAAGTGCAAGAAATAAAATTAATGAACTACGTTTGGTAGCATGTGCTGGGAACTTTGATATCATTGCATTAACTGAAACGTGGTATGATTTAAGAGTCGGATATGACTGCTGAGTGTAATATTCAGGGATTTAAGTTGTTCAATGTGGATAGATGTAATGGGAAGGGGGGAGGAGTTGCATTGTATGTTCGAGAAAATATTAATTGTTGCATTAAAACAGGTATAAAAATAAATGGAGCAGTAACAGAGTCTGTTTGGGTAGAGTTCGTGGAGGGTCAAGAAAAACTAATTCTAGGTGTAATATACCGACCTCCAGGCTTGGATCACGATAGAGGGAGACTTCTTTGGGACGAAATTGTTAGGGCTTCTGGACACAGTAACGTAGTCATAGTAGGGGACTTTAACTTTAGCCAAATTGACTGGAATTTTTTGACAGGTAATCTAGAGTCCAGTGACTTCATGGAAACAGTTCAGGACTGTTTTCTGAAATAGAGTGTAACTGAGCCTACCAGGGGTAATAATTTGCTAGACCTAGTCTTGTCAAATAAGGAAACACTCGTGAATAATCTGGAGATCACTGAAGAGCTTGGCGCAAGTGATCACAAATCCATCACCTTTA